GGCCATCAAGACAAGTTGTATAACAGCAGTTGAAACATATAGATGTTTTTTTCTACCTATCATTCTGTTCAGAAACACCTAATTCTTTTTTGGGTGACTAGCTTTTTTCAAATATATGCTTACCTAATATTAAAAATATACAATTCATTAAAAACTTTACTCGAACTATAAGATAGTTAATGTGGTATCGGCTCAAAACGTTTTTGTTGTAAGGCCTCAAACTGAAGTGTTCAAAGACTCACCTACTGTAACCAAAGCGATATTCAAGCTGATTGGTTATCAAAAATATGAATTTTTATTTATTTAAAAGCACACATTTCAGCACTGATTTTTGAAAAACCAATTTGTACTTCTATTTTTTTTTTAAAGTTCCATTTCTTGTTTATTTTTAGCCTACAAGAAGGAAGGAAATTTGATTTCCAATTATAATAGACTTCAGTTGGCGGGATTACCGTGTTCCCAAATATTTGCATAATCAATTAACGTAATAAGTTTCAATATACCCAAGGCAGCCAAGATTGTCCCTGATCACCGCTGTCAACTCCATCTTCTTCTTCGTTACTGTTTTCGTTATCAGAGGTTTTTGGATCTTGATGGGTTATTAACAAACTTCACGGAAATTTTGGATTCTACAAGTCATCTGGTATCTCGTCATATAGAGAATTTAGTGGTACATCAGCCGATTTATTCTAAGGAGAAAAATAAGTATTACCAAATAATATAAATGTAAGCAAATCTCGTTGTTCACCAAGAGAGTTATAGGCTCCCAGTTTCGGGTGTTTCGCGTTGCTCAGGGTAAGCCTCAATTTTATGTAGACTATTCATGCTTTCCAGGGACGCCGGAGGGGGAGGGTTGGGGGACTCTAGCCCCCCTAATAGGTTACTATCAATAGACGTCACTTCCGGTAATAATTGAGTTTTGACGAGGGGGGGGGGGGGGGGGGTCAATTAACATTCCGTAGCTTGGAGGGTCTTGGAAGTTGTATGTGTGTCTTAATTTTTGGTGTTAGGCACAAGAAATATTCAGATAAATTACTTTTAGAACTGTGTTGACATATTTTGATTTTAATTTGCTAATTGTATATTAATTACCCCACTTTCATCTCCAACGAAAGTCACGTGATCGATAGTGAGCAATTGTTTTGTCGCCATGTTGAATTACTTATTTACTGTTTATAAATAAATATAATATAAACTTAATATAAATATAATATAAACTTCATAAACTTTATCGGCTCTTCTCGGTAAATGAATCATAATGAAATACTGAACAATCCAGTTCTTTCAATTAACGAAGAACAACGAACCAGCAGTCCAAAATTTCGAAGGAAGAAAAACTTTAAAGCAATAAATATGTTGCAAATGCCCCTTCAAAGCACTGGAAAAATGAGTAAATGAGTCTGTAGTAAAGAAACAATGACAAGAATAATAATATAACGAACTCGAAAATGGAGTGTATTCAAAGTAATCCAGACATATTCATTTTAAAATTATTATTTTCCTAAAAATAATGCAAACCAACCTTCTTTTTGTTTTTATTGACTATAGCATACACGGGTTCCACGTTAGATTTCACTTTCTTGGAACTGGATGTCTCGTCACGTGTTGGTTGTTGTACTGTTTTAGAAGTGATAACCGGTTTGTACCCAGTCTCTTCCACGGTGGCATAATCAGCATTGCTTGCAGATGTGTGAAATACGTTTCTCCCTCGTATTGCATCAACTGGTTCTCCATAGGGACACTCTTCGGCCCATTCATTTGCCCTAATTAAGAAAAAAAAAACCCTTAGTATTTCACAACACCCATTAATTTGAAGAAAATTAAAAAAAACCGCAACATTAAGTATTAAAAAAAATGATATATGACTCTTAAAACAGACAAGACTAACCGAACAACTGACGCCCACTTAACCTAACCGAAATCAAAACTACCAACTAACCACCTAATTAACACTAAAAAAAATAACCAAAACAAGAAAAAGAAAAAAAAGCAATGCAAAACAAAACAAAGCAAAAACAAAACAAAACAAAACAAAACAAAAAACAAAACAAAAAAACCAACAACAACAACAACAAAACAAACAAACAAACAAAAAAACAAAAAAACAAAAACAAAACAAAACAAAACAAAACAAAACAAAAACAACTAACTAACCAAACAACGAACCATTCAGCAAACAAATTAAGAAATTAGCAATCAGCCATGCGGCCACTCAAACAACAGCAATCTTTTTTTAATGTGATATATGACTTTAAGAGATTATTTTGGATTTTACCCCAGGTCTTGCTGCTGTGTGCCTGAAAGTGATAAAGAGGAAAATCAGGGAGATGTGAAGGGCAATTATTGTTTGAAAATAGGTGATTTCCATTAACAGGTCACGTGACCCTATCCCTTGACTCTATCAGTTGCATCAAAATGAACACAAAAAATGATTAGTAAACAGTTGGAGTTTCAGATCGTAATATTAAAACYCATTAATAATTCATAAGCTTATGGTCCAATAGGAGCCACCATACACATCACGTGCATGAACCTTTATACCCGATAAAGTCCTCTTCATTAGTATTCAAGTGAATTTATATAAAGACACGTGTCTTTATATAAAGACACAAGTGATCTTTATGTAAAGACCACTCGAATACTATGAGGATGACTTCATCAGGGATGAAGTATGCATCCAAGTTTAGATGAAGACATAGAGCTTCATCAAGGTCATAGTCAACCCTAATGATCTTTGACTATCGTGCCTGTCTTTGCGTTGGCACGCAATATCCAACGTGTGGGAGCTTCTATTGAATCTGGATGTGCATGTCCGTGACGTCAAATCTCTATCGAAGTATAAAAATCCATGTTCGTGACGTGTATGGTGGCTCCAGTTGAACCAAAATCTTATAAATTGTTCATGAGTGTTTTAAGCAGTTCAAAAAACTCGTACATCGTGTTTTATCAGGTATAAAAGCACTCGGCTACGCCTCGTGCTTTTATACCTGATAAAACACTCCTACTCGTTTTTTAAACAGTACATAAATATATAGGAGAAATAGTAATGTATATAAAACTAAGTATTATAAGTAGTGTTTGAAAAACGAGTAGGAGTGTTTATCAGGCATAAAAGGTATAACTGTTTCATCCTCATAGTATTCGAGTGGTCTTTATATAAAGTCCACATGTGTCTTATATAAAATCACTTGAATACTAATAAAGAGGAATTTATCAGGTATAAATGTGCATGCACGTGACGTGTATGGTGGCTGCAATTTGACCAAAAGGTTATGAATTATTAATGAGTGTTTTAAGGATTTGAAAGGGAAAATTAGCTTGACATGATCTCTTCTTTTTTTTTGTTTTCAAAATGTTAGAAGCAATTATCGAAGCATGGCCATTCAGTGGACTACGTCTACGATACGGCGGTCATCTTGCCAAGGGGCAAAACAAAAGATCAATAATGACGGAATATATATATATATCGTTTCGTGTGTTTGTCTTTCTTTTATGGGTAAAGGTGATCGATGTGCCGTCTAATTTCCTTCTTTGTATTCTCTCGTGGTTAATTGTTAATATCAATCGACTTCATTTTTGTAATTAAGCTCCAATTGCACCTGGACGATTATAATGCATTGCGATCCAAGATGCGGTCGCAGAAATCGCAGAAATAGTCCATTAATCTGACGTAATTAAAGAAATGCATTATCTTCTCATTTACCACTGACAACATCACGTTTTGACTGCTTCCGTTTTCGCGAAATAAAAACATAAACCAGTATCAAGGCAACAGCAAATAGTAGAGCACAAACGATGCTATGATTATTTGCAACAGATTTTCAGGAGGAAGAATGGATCCATCGTCATCTGAAATAGCAAAAACAGCAAAATCATATTAAATTTAAAGTATAACCATATGTTTTGCTAAAAACAATAAAAAATAAATAGATTGATAATTAAAAATATGTATACTGAGCTATAATGACTTAATTCTCTCTCCTTTTCGGTCACCCATGCGCAAAGAAGGCTACCATAAGGGCCGTAAGTTAGAGTCTAGAGTGCCTATTTTTAAAATAACAAATATAAATTAAAAAGACCAGACATGGCACATCTATAGAGAGCTTATAAAACTACCATAATCAAGAAGGTTTTGTTCCCCAAGCCGTTACCCGTGGCTAAAGATTTCAGTCAACATTAGAAAAGCATACAGTATTGTAATTAGGTTATAGAAGCACCACTTATCTATATATTCAAAATGAACTTTAGTTTAAAATGTATGACAGTAATGTTGAATGGGTAACTTATTCTGATTTAATTTTAGCTAATTACTCTAACTTTTGAAGTAAAAATCACACAATATACTCATCCATCAGTGGATCATGCAAGGATTCAATATGTAATCATAAGCCATAAGTATTTACGACAGATTCATTCGTGTTGATTATGTTGATCACATAATAAACATACCATTATCAGCAGAGTTTTCCTTCTTGCAAAATGTCCAGACTTTAAATCGTAACATCAATAGAATGAAAAAGGAAAATAAAAAAGTAATTATTAATATGACAAAAACCAAGAACAAACCAAACAACCAAACAACCAAACAACCAAACAACCAAACAACCAAACAAAAAAGTAATTATTAATATGACAAAAACCAAGAACAAACCACACAACCAAACAACCAAACAACCAAACACAGCACGGACCGAACAACCAATCACAGCACAGATGAGCCGATGAGCGAGGAAAGAGCAGAAAGGATAATTGACTTAATGCCCGA